GCATGGAGTCAGCATGAAGTGTCTGAAACCTGACTAGAAGAACAGACTTGGGGGCACTTGTTGGTCTGCCCCAAGGAAGCACGAGGAAGGCTGCTGCAGCCAAGAGGTATTTCGGAGGAGATATATTTTTCTTTCCCACCCACCCACCCTTTTGCTTTTGGGGGTGTCAGTGGTAGGGCGAGGATGGATCGCCAGTAGTGGTGAACGAGGAAGGGATAGTCGTTTTCCGATACTGCTAATGGGGCGAGGGTCTCTTGGGTAGAGGGTCCTTGCCCTGGTGTCTCTGTCGCGTTAGAGATGTTTGCGGTACTCTCAGTGCGGGTTAGAGCGCATTAGTTGCTGTGCCACGAAAGGAGGCGAGGGCACAGTGACTGCATGTGAGGTTATAGTCGACAGGGTCGGTTGTAGCTGTGGGCCGGCGGTCGGAGAGCGGGTGCGAACCCAACGTGGGGGTTCGTGCGGTACCGCGTGTGTGCGACCGTTGATAAGCCTGACGAGGTAGCGCGACTAGACATGGGCATGCAGTGGTGTTATTCACGGTACATCACAATCGATGCGGTATTTGTGCGGTATATTTTAATTGGTGCCTCGGAACATGCGTGCAATTTGGAGAAAGAGGGTGTGTGGAGCACACGACATCCCGGGGGGAGTGGGCGCGCAGTTGGAAGTTGTTGCTAACAACTGGCGCTGAGTGAGAGGGGATGAGTGCTTTACTAGTACTTACATGTATGTACAACATGTATGGGGCTTTCAGGTGCCGGGCGATTTTGTTTCTGAATTTGCATTTCCTTTCCGTGGAAATGTAGGTCGCGCGGCATTATCTTTCCATGTGTATGCTTCGGAGTATATGTTGTATGCATGGATAGCTGAGTCTGTGGGAGCCAGGCATGACTTTGAGAGTATGCCTGATGGTACGGTGACTGGTTTATATACTGATGGTGTTGTGGACGGGGATAGGTTGAGATCCCCGAGTTCCACTCTTCTCTCCCCCCCCTGTTCAAGGGGGGGGGGTACGACCAATTAATGCAATTTCGAAAGCAACGAACAAAGCAGGCGTTTCCTCCGTTATTGACGAGGAAATACCACAATACGCACCCCAGTGCCTCACCTGCAGGCCTGTACTGTAGACTATTTATATTGAAATGCAACATGTGCTATTTATTTCTTTTTCTTTTTCTTTTTTTCTCCCATCATTGGACTCTGTCGTCTGCCCCTCTGGCCCCTATCCTCCACTTCTACCAGCTAGCCGACCCAACCGGGGTCACATAGGAGGGGGGGGTTGGAACCCCTCCTGCGGTTCCTGCCTGAGATATTTTCATCGCGAGAAGGGTACAGCAATCCCTTCCCTCGCGACTTATGAAGTCGATCAAGTTTACCAACAACGAGCTTTGCAGCGCGTCGCTTCCAATGGAGACCAGGATTAAGAATGCGAGAAAAAACTCACGCTGTCGGGACTCGAACCCATGACCTGGCCCTTAGCAGGCTGCGAGGCTACCCACTAGACCACCGGGGCGACCGGTGTGTGTTATGTACCACTGCTGCTGCACACCACCCCCACATCAAACATGTACCAACCTGCTCATACATAGATGGATGGATACGCAATTTCACAGTCACGGTCAGCTAGCTGTCCTGGGTGAAGAATTTGTTGTCACCTGAGAGCCTGTACATTTTCCCGTGCCATACCTTGACTTCACGTCGTACAATACCGCGATGTCAACTCGTTCTCCCCCGTCTTTGTCGTGGAGTTCAAGCTCGTTGTCCCACAAAGGATGGAATTGGACGTCTTCGTGACGAACATATTCAGCTTCTCCGGTAGCATCTTGCTGTTGTTCCGGGGCCACGAGACTATCGATGAAAAGAGATGAACGTGGGTGGGGCCGCAGCATACAACAGTCTACATAGACCCCGGTCGCCCCGGTGGTCTAGTTGGTATCTTCAAAACCTTTTAGAGATCAGGTCAGGGGTCCGAATCCCGGCGAAGCGACCTTCTTTTCCAAAGTGAGTTTTTCTCTCGCCTTCGCTCCTGGCCTAGTGGATAGCGCTAGTTCGTGTGTACACAGAGGGAAGAGAGCGCTGAACTATTCTCGCATTAAAAGTCGAAGGCAAAGTACCGCAGGAGGGGAGAGTAGAGCGGGGCTCTTCTGTGTGACCACGGGTAGGGGTAAACGGCACCAGGAGTGCTGTGAGCGCTGATTTGAAGTGAAGACAAAAAAAAAAAGACCACAAGAGCGAGGAGTCCAGTCTGGAGTCCTGCTGTGGCATCCCCTTCAGTAGAAACAAACCAACGCTTTCGCGGCGACCGCGTACGCGATTGCGCTTGCTTGGAAGCGCGCAGAGCACGGGGAGCCTACACAGCAATCTTACACACACAGCCGCCACGGCAAGGAAAACAGCAATAACAATGTAGTACTGACGTCTATCCGTGGTCGCATGTCACAGAAGACCGGACCATTTTATTACGGATACAGTCCAAGTATCATACTCCCTCTGTATCATAAGTCTGGTCTGTTATGTGCGTGTCGTAGTAAAGATACTTACACGTTGACGTTTAGCCTTTGGCTGGGTGCGTTAGAAAGGCAAGACATATGCAAAGCTGACCAAAAAAAAAAATCGAAGACCGTGTCATTCACAAAAATTAGGTCAAAATATGCCCAATTTGGCCTGTTTTGAGTTTTTTTTTGAGAATTTTTGAAGAATTCGTGAGATCAGTCGTGATTACCACCCCACACATACTATGCAAACGATGGATACGCCCCCAAGTACTCCCCCACATCGCCCCAAGGGCGGCGAGCTTTCAGTGGGCCGCCGCATTGCAATTGTAGTGGAGGCTGCGCTGGCTATTCCGCCGGGTCAAGTACGGATACCGAAGGGTGCGCTGGGCCCACCGACACCAACAGACACTTTTTCTGCCCGCAAGTGTCTTGGTTTTAGTGTGGGCCCCCCAAGTGTCTTAGTTGTAGTGTGGGGCCACTATCATACTGCTTTAAGTATAGGGGGGCGCGATGTGGGTCGCTGAGTAGAGGGGGGGGGGATTCNCTATTCCGCCGGGTCAAGTACGGATACCGAAGGGTGCGCTGGGCCCACCGACACCAACAGACACTTTTTCTGCCCGCAAGTGTCTTGGTTTTAGTGTGGGCCCCCCAAGTGTCTTAGTTGTAGTGTGGGGCCACTATCATACTGCTTTAAGTATAGGGGGGCGCGATGTGGGTCGCTGAGTAGAGGGGGGGGGGATTCGGGCCCTACTCTGTTGTTCTTTTGCCCCGCAAGTGTCTTGGTTTTAGTGTGGGATCCCCAAGTGTCTTGGTTTTAGTGTGGACCCCCAAATGTCTTGAATTTGGTGTGTGGGTCACTATCAATATGGTTTTAGTATGGGGGACGTATTGTGGATGGCTGAGTCTAGGCGGGGTTAGCTTTAGGGTTAGGGATAGTTCTTGGTTTTTGGGCGGGGGGTTAGGCTCAATGCCCCACGTACCCCACCCCCCGGAAAAGGGCAAAATATGGCCGTTTAGTCGCATGGTTCAAGCACCAGCTTTAAAAAAAAAAATGTTTTCTTGCTCAAAAAACGCCGTAGAATTCAACAAAAAAACGAAAAACAGATCGGACACCGTTAAGGCGGCGTATAAACCTAACAGCCCAGACTTATGATACAGAGGAAGTACAGCATGTACCGCCGCGACTTGGTAGTACGTAGTTGTAAAGCAGTAGCATTGACATGCAGCAGGAAAAACTAACCAGATCTTGTCGCATCTCGGCAAGGTTGATGGAGCGAGTTTGCTCCCGTTGTGCTCCTTGTTGAACTCGGATAGACCATGTGGACCGTTTCACCCGCTCTTCCTGCTCCTCCTGCTCGTGCTCTTCGTTGCTGGGAGTACCTGTGATCCCACGGAGGGCGACAAAAGAGATACTCAGCATGGTTACTGCCCCTTACCACACAGCAACAACGGAATAGATATTTTCTCCGATGTGGGGAGAGAAAACCTTCCGGGAACCAAGGCAAACCAGGTTCAAGCTACGCGGGAACAACGAGAGGACGGCTGGATGTATTCGGTTCACGATGACGCCTTCCGTGTCATTTATGTTTAGATATACTCGCAGCAGTCTCTAGACGTGAAGATCCTGGGGGATACGTGTTGGGAATTTCGTATGTTGATGGGTACCACCGATGCAGATACGGGGACCCTTTTGGCCTTGGTTGCGGTGTTGAAGGCTCGCGCATCTAGCGCACTGCTTTCGCTCTCTCCACCGCTACCGCCGTCTCTCTCCAATCAAGTTTCCTTCGCCAACGCTTTCTCCAACGCCAACGCTTTCTCCAACGCCAACGCCATCTCTATCTCTACCTCTCTTTCTCGGCCTAACACGACCGACTACCCACTGCCCCAAGAGACGCCCAACACGGGCTTGCTGCACCCCGCGTAGTTTATCTTGCACACTAGTGCGAATCAGATTCAGATTCTGCGCGTGGTCGTAGTATACCGGGGGGTTGTGCATTCACGCGCAATCGGTAGACTCCCACAACAACATCATGGCCACCTCGAAGGATTCCGAAATCGACGTCTCCACCCTCAGCCAATAAGAGCTGCAACAAGAACTTCAACGAAGGGTGGCCGCCCAACTCGCGAAGGAGAGAGCAGAAATCGCCCCACCGCCAGCAGAACAGCAGTCACCCACCACCGGCGAGCAGTCGCCCCATCCCACACCAGCCGACATACCGCCCACCGGCAACCAGCCTTCACCCTCCAGCCAGAGATCACAATCCTTCAACAATCCCACCAACGTCGCCAACATCGTGGCGCAAGCATTCAAGGCGACAGCCGAGGCCATGTCTGGACATCAGGGCTTTGCCGACACAGGCACGTTTCGTGTCAACCCCGGCTCTGAGATAGACCCTTGGCTTTGAAGTGTGAAGAAAGAGCAGGATTTGTACATTTATGTTTGATGTTTTTCGCAGTAAGATGGTGTCGTATTTTTAGGAGGAGGGTGTATTAGATGTATTAGGGATGACTGGTGTCAAGGTTGGCAAGAGGGGTGTGGGCCTAGCAGAGCTAAGGGGCATCTTCGTGACTGATGTGGTGGCCAAGTCGTTGAAGTTGTGGAATATTATCATCAGCAAGATTCTACTTAGTATTCCCTCCAATTCAGAACTTGATCATGGCATGTGAGAATCCCCAGCAGGGGTGGAAGATCGTCACGAATTTCTACCAAGAGAAGGAGTCTGAGAAGACTAGGCTTGAGCAAGAGTGGTTGGCGTTAGAAATGCGTGAGTCGGAGAACCCACAGAATTACATAGCAAGGTCGGAAACTCTTCGATTGCGTCTTGCCTCAGTAGGAACTATCGCGGACACAACACATGCTAACAAGGACGTTGTGCGCGGCCTTCCCCCATCGTATGCCGTGCAAAAAGGAATATTGCTAGCAAGCGATGTCGTGACTTTGCATGCCCTTGAGACTGTGGTGAGGGACGCCCACATGGAGATGGAGCGCGAGAGGAGCAAGGAGCAGAGGCGAGAGGCGGAGCTCGCCCTCGTCGCGTCCGGTGCGAGCCGGAGCGGCGGGGGCAATGGGGGGGCATCCGGGGGACAAGGAGTAGTCGACGGTCAAGACCGTGAAATCCGTGATGGCGAGAGAAACCGTGACGTGTTCGTCGAAGATCCCACCGGTTTTTGCCGCTACCACCAGTCCGAACTACACACGAACGGGCAATGCCGTAACCAGCAGCATCTGCGGCGGGCGCGCACGAGAGCAGTCGCCGAGGATCGCCGCGGGGGTGGCGGCGGAGGCCGCGGCGGCGGCTGGAGCCACCGAGGAGGAAGACCGCCGTCGGGAGCCGGCCGGGGTGGCGGGCGCTGGGNTGCTAGCAAGCGATTTCGTGACGTTGCATGCCCTTGAGACTGTGGTGAGGGACGCCCACATGGAGATGGAGCGCGAGAGGAGCAAGGAGCAGAGGCGCGAGGCGGAGCTCGCCCTCGTCGCGTCCGGTGCGAGCCGGAGCGGCGGGGGCAATGGGGGGGCATCCGGGGGACAAGGAGCAGCCGGCGGTCAAGACCGTGAAATCCGTGATGGCGAGAGAAACCGTGACGTGTGCGTCGAAGATCCCACCGGTTTTTGCCGCTACCACCAGTCCGAACTACACACGAACGGGCAATGCCGTAACCAGCAGCATCTGCGGCGGGCGCGCACGAGAGCAGTCGCCGAGGATCGCCGCGGGGGTGGCGGCGGAGGCCGCGGCGGCGGCTGGAGCCACCGAGGAGGAAGACCGCCGTCGGGAGCCGGCCGGGGTGGCGGGCGCTGGGTGAGAGTGAAGGGCAGCAGCACCACACCGGTCATGGTGGCGGTGGCTGGAGCCAAGCTTCACCCCCCCCGCAACCTCTTTGTGGACGTGGGCCTGGTGGTCGTCTGGGGCGGCACCCGGGGGGTCGAGGGCCCTCGGGACGCCACGGCAGCGATGGTCGTGCAGAGAGAGAGCGGGCATGTAGAGGCCCAAGGCACGCGCGTACCGGCTACGAGAGAGAGCAGGCGTACGTAGTGTACTACGCCCACGACGACGGCGCTACTACGAGGATCACGGCGACTTCGACCACGGCTACTACTACGACGATGGCTACCACGACTCGGGGTACGCCCACTACGTCGAAGCGGGCACCGGAGACAGCTACAGCTACTCTGAGGGGTATGAAGACAGCCGTACGTCTGACGGCGGCATCCACTACGTGTACTACCCTCCTGCCGGCGAAGATTCGTCCTCAACTGAGCAGCCACGTCAGCCCCCCCCGAGCAGCAGCAGCACCGATTCCCCCTCGTCCTCCACTCCTTCTCCAATAGCGCCTCCATCTTCGGGTTACCTCCACCTCTGCACGGCACAATCTGTGCCTCTAGGCAAGTCTCACCCCGATGATTTTTATGATAGGATAGGTGTGACGATTGAAGTGGAGTCTGTTTCGAGTGCTTCGTCTTTGCTGAGTGCAGAGTCGAGTGAAGGGCCGCCTGGTAGCGAGAAGTGGGTAGCAGATTCTGGAGCACGCAACAGCTTCACCAACAGCGACTTGCACATGTACGACTTGCAGGAGATCCACTCGAATAGGCAGTATGTCATTGTAGGAGATGGTCGTCTGCTGAAGGTGAAAGCAATCGGTAGCATCAACCTCAGCTTTTTCCAGGAGGTAGATAACGGAATGCCAACGACGGTGTATGTGAAGCTGACTGACGTGTCTGTGGTAGAGAGCCTGAGCTTCAACTTGTTTTTGACGCATGCTGTTTCCCTTCGGCAACGAATAATCCATGACGAGCGTGGTGTGACCCTGCGTAACGGACTGCTGTTTGCTAGAGAGGAGAAAGCTTCTGCCGCCTATGCAATGCGCATGCCTCACGACCCGTCTGCGATTGTGGTGGACTCTGCTGCTTTGCCTGCCTTCGTGAAATCCCCCGATTCCACCCCCGCTGATGGTCCAACTTCCCCTTTCCCCAACGGGAGCTCCGTGGAATCATTGGTGTCTGTTTTGCGTGCACCGCCCGCTGGCTCTGCTAGCATTGTACCTCCGACTGACAGCGCCCGGCCCACTGGTCTCGCCAGTGTAGTCCCTGTGCATGACAGCGTCCATCCGACTGGTCCCTCCAGTGTAGTTCCTGAGCATGACAGCGTTCCGCCCGCCGGTTCTACCGACGTCGTACCTCTTTCGGCGTCCGGTTTTGAGTGTGTGGGTACTTTCCCGGGTATGGATCTAGGAGATACGAGTGTGTTCACCGACGAGCTGCTCATGGACGGGTATGACAAAACCCCGTACCAAGATTTTTTCCCCGCGTTCATGCCAGAGAATGAAGCTGCGATCGCGGCTGGTGTTATGGATGGAATTGATGGTGTTGGTTTTGACGTGGGTGTGGCTGCTCTTGGTCCTGGTGCGTCCCCGTTTTCCATTGGTTCGACCGATAAGTCCGTCGACATCAACCGCTTCCACCGTTCCCTTGCCCACGCTTGTGAACCCCTGTTGAGAGAAACTGCCCGGCAGAGGGGCATCACTCTCACGGGAACGTTGGAACCATGCTCGGACTGCATGAAGGCGAAGGGCAAGAGGGCGTCGGTGCCGAAGGGGCCGGGAGCGCGGGCGTCGAAGCCACTCGGGCGTGTTCACCTGGACCTGTGTGGACCGTTGGCGCCTTCCCTGGGCGGCAACCTCTACCTGTTCGTCGCCGTCGACAGCGCCTCGCGATGGAACAAGGTGTACGGACTTCGGCGGAAGTCCGATGCGCTGGCGGCTACGAAACGGCTGCTGGCGGACGTGGGGCGGTACGACCTCGGCCGCATCGAGTGCTTCCGGATCGACAACGGCACCGAGTGGACCCGGGGCGAGTTTCGGCGTTGCTGCGACGACAACGGCATCGGCGTCGAGTTCACCCCGCCTGGCGTCCCGCAGTACAACGGCGTCGTCGAGAGCGCCATCTGGCGCATCATGAAGGCCGGCATGGCCGCTCGCCGCAGCGCTGCCCGTGTGCTCAACGTCGACTACGCCTCCATCACCGGCCTCGACCCGCGCGGCGACCGTCTTTGGTTGGAATCTGCGAAGTGGGCCGCCGACGCTCTCAACCAGTCGGCGACCAAGGCCAACCCCGGGCGTCGTTCTCCGCACGAGCTATTCACCGGTCAGCAGGGGCCGTTCCGCGTGCTGCCGTTCTTCCAGCCCGGCTACATGCGTGAGGATCGCCGCACCAAGCTCGACGACCAGGCCACCTTGTGCTATTACCTGAACGGCGGCGACAACCACCCGAGCGGCACCGTCAAGGTCCTCAAGGCGTCCACCGGCCGCGTCGTCTACACCAACAACGTGTCGTGTGTGACGTCGGCGCCAGCCGGCAAGGGGGGTTCCGCTGGTATCCCCGCTGCGCCGACGCCTCCCCCGTTCACGCCGGTCGTCTCGATCAACTTCGGCCCAGCCCCGACGCCTTCGACCGCCGCACAGCCGCCGCCAGCGCCCACGTCCACGCCGTCGCCCGCACCCGCTCCTGGCCAGCCGCCCTCTGCCGCTTCGCCGTCATCGTCGGCGACCCCCGCTCCTGACCAGACTCCTTCTGCCGCATCGCCATCACCGTTGGTAACCCCATCTCCAGTTCAGCTACCGCCGTTGCCGCCGCCGCCGGGCCCCGCGTTGCCCCCGCTCTCGGCCCACGCCATGCGGCAGCTTCGCCCGGGCAAGAAGGCCGAGGGTATGAAGGGCCCGCGGCTGCCAGGCCGCACGAAATCGGGCACGAGGCACAGCACAGGGTTCATCTCGATGCTGGACAAGAACACTCTGGTATCGATGCTGGAGGCCCAGAGCGCGGTGGAGGAGGAGCTCAGGGAGACGGGGGGAGCGGGGACCTGAGAGCCGGGGGGAGCGGGGACCTGAGAGCCGGGGGGAGCGGAGAGCAGGGGGGAGCGCTCGCAGCCGTGGACCTGGGGGCTGTNTCACGCCATGCGGCAGCTTCGCCCGGGCAAGAAGGCCGAGGGTATGAAGGGCCCGCGGCTGCCAGGCCGCACGAAATCGGGCACGAGGCACAGCACAGGGTTCATCTCGATGCTGGACAAGAACACTCTGGTATCGATGCTGGAGGCCCAGAGCGCGGTGGAGGAGGAGCTCAGGGAGACGGGGGGAGCGGGGACCTGAGAGCCGGGGGGAGCGGGGACCTGAGAGCCGGGGGGAGCGGAGAGCAGGGGGGAGCGCTCGCAGCCGTGGACCTGGGGGCTGTAGGAGCGGGCTTACCACTTGCATGTGCCACGCTCCTCGCCAACCGGGAAGACATCGATGCCATGCTGCGCGACCAGCGCCCGCCGGAGCAACGCCCTGATCTCCCGAACTGCCAGGCGAGCGACCTTCGCATCTCCAAGAGCTACAACGAGGCTATGGCGTCGGAGTACCGGCACCTCTGGGGCGACTCGATGAGAAGGGAGTTTTTCGGGTTGCTGGAAGCGGGGACTTTTACTCCGGCGAAGTAGCAATCAGTGCAGAACGCGATAAACGCGGAGTGGGTATTCAATTGGAAGGGAGATGAGTTTGGATGGGCCACTAAGGTCAAGGCGAGACTTGTAGCGAGAGGTGATATGCAGAGAGTACAATGATTTTGGAGAGTTGGATGCGCCTACCGTTTCTGTTTCGTGTGTCAGGATGTTGGCAGCGTTGGCGTGCGAGTTGAACCTCGACTTGTGTTATTTCGATGTTGAGCAAGCTTTTGTGCGGTCGGAATTGGAAGAAGACATGTACATGCGATTGCCGCAGGGATGTGGAGCTCTATCGGGAATGATTGTAAAACTAGGCAGGAGTTTGTATGGCTTGAGACAGGCATCTAGGCAGTGGCATGCAATGCTGAAGAGGTGTTTGGTTGCGTTGGGATTTGAGCAGTGCACGGCCGATGCTTGTGTGTTTCGATTGATTGAAGGGGGGGGTGTGGATTTGATTTTGGAAGTACATGTAGATGATATTTTTGCTGTGGGAGAGAGGGAGAGATGTGAAAAGTTTGGCGCCGACCTTAACAAGTCCGTGCCGGTGAAGAACCTGGGAGAGTTGAGATGGTATTCTGGGTGCTTTGACGAGAGAAGCAAGGAGACTGGTAGGCTGACGATTTCTCAGCAGACTTTCACGGATGAGCTAGCAGCAGAGTATGGAGTAGCAGGGGGTAAGAGCGTTCCCATGTCTTCGGTGGTCAAGCTTTCTGACTTTGATGCGGATGAAGAGGCGACAGATTTTCCGTTTCGTGAGCTAGTAGGATCTTTGATGTGGCTGGCGACTCAGACTAGGCCAGACATTGCGAATGCAGTATGGGCAGTAGCTAGATATTGCGCGTCTCCGAAGCAGGTGCACTGGGATGCAGCGATGGGTATATTAGGGTATGCGAAGAGGACGACTAACATGGGTGTTTCATTTCAGAGAGGTACGGTAGAAGGATTCAGCTTGCAGGGGTACGCTGATGCGGACTTTGCGAGCAAGGCAGCAGACCGTAGGTCGGTATCAGGGGGGATAGTAACATGCGGAGGAGGCGTTGTGTCTTGGTTTTCCAGAAGGCAGAAGTGCGTTACGCTTTCGACAACAGAAGCAGAGTATGTCGCGCTTGGCGATGTAGCGAAGGAGATTTTGTTTTTGAAGCAGGTTTGGCGATTTATTTTGCCGAAGGTCAGCATGCCGTGCATCCCAGTCTTTGAGGACAACCAGGGGGCGATTCAACTAGCGCAGAACCCCATCTCGAACTCGAACTCGAAGCACATTGATGTAACGCACCATTTTCTCAGGGAACTGGTAGAGAGGAAGGAGATTTCGGTGATCCACGTGCCGTCTCCGTACCAGCATGCCGACTTTCTTACGAAGAGTTTGCCCAAGGACGCGTTCGAGTCTCACCGTGATTTTGTGATGAATTTGGCATGAGTTTTTATTATTTTTCTGATGATTAGTTTGGCTTTCGATTTGATTGTTTTGCTTTCCGCGCTAATTTTATATCACGCGCGATGCAGCAGTATTCATGTTTCTTGGACTTGGTTTTCGTTTCTTATATTTTGGAAGTAATGTTGAAANCCGTGATTTTGTGATGAATTTGGCATGAGTTTTTATTATTTTTCTGATGATTAGTTTGGCTTTCGATTTGATTGTTTTGCTTTCCGCGCTAATTTTATATCACGCGCGATGCAGCAGTATTCATGTTTCTTGGACTTGGTTTTCGTTTCTTATATTTTGGAAGTAATGTTGAAAGCATATATTCAGGAAAAGACGTCTTTCGGTTGAGATATCCGGTATTATTTCGAAATTTGCAGTGAAGACACTGTTGCGAGCAGGGGGGATGTTAGATATACTCGCAGCAGTCTCTAGACGTGAGGATCCACGTGTTGGGAATTTCGTATGTTGATGGGTACCACCGATGCAGATACGGGGACCCTTTTCGCCTTGGTTGCGGTATTGAAGGCTCACGCATGTAGCGCACTGCTTTCGCTCTCTCCGCTACCGTCGTCTCTCTCCGATCAACTTTCCTTTTCCAACGCTTTCTCCAACGCCAACGCCATCTGTATCTCCACCACTCTCTCTCTCTCGGCCTAACACGGCCGACTACCCACTGCCCCAAGAGACGCCCAACACGGGCTTGCTGCACCCGTGCACCCCGCGTAGTTTATCGTTCAATTTCAATCTGCGCACCATATTGTTGAGAACAATCTGATGGCTGCACCCTGCTGGGCACCAAGCATGGTTGAATCGTAGGCATCATGGATGCTTGGAACTTCTGCTTGCCCTGCGTACAGGGTAGGATGCTCGGAGCATCTGTCAACATTTGCTGCGCGACGTGGCGTGCGCCTATCTATCTTTCTTGCCTGTCACAACTTTCTCGGTAGCAAACAAGCACAGATCGCGGTCGCACTGAATGAGGAACTCCATTCTTGTGAAACATGAGAACTTCATTGAGAAGTGGTACCGTTGGTGAGCCCGGGTAAGGATGAAAGAATCGACTGAAATACATTTAGCGGCCTGCCAAGCTCATAGGATGAACGCCCAAACCTGAGCGAAAAGACTATTAAATGCTTCCATCGTCTACTAGTCTTGAGGCGCGATGCATGTTTTCAGCAGTCACTGTGGTATCTTCTGTGAGTGTGGTGTGTTATATCGTCTACGGTATGAAGGGCTTAAGGATTTTTTAGATTTATTGAATGACAACTTGTTTATTTTGACTTAAGTTGAGCTTGCCTAAAACTTCAAAGAGGAAAAAAAATGCGGTCTTACCACAAACCGAGACTTGCGCGGGTCTCTCCGTTCCAACGCTTGGTCTGGGTGTAGTGGATTCAGGACAAAATTCCAGCCTAAACCCGCTTGTGAAGCACGAACCAAACGCGAACATGCCCATCTGTTGGTACTCAAATGACGTCTGTGCATTTTAACGTCGACAGCACGCAGGAGCATGTCCCACACACCAACACGGAAGAGTTATTTCCGCCTTTCCTCCCGCGGTGTTTGTCTTCGCTTTCGACGTTTGACAAGACAAAAGATTCAGCAGCCCTCTCGCCTTCCGTCATGTGCACACACTCGCGACTAGACGATTTCCACTCGAAAACCACGCGATTCTTACCTCCGCAGAGATCGGAAACTCCTCCGAAAAGGAAAGAGGGAAAATCGACGTGGGGGACCGAGCTGAATCACGTTTTCAAGCTGGAAGGTTGCACTGCTGCTGTGCTCTACATCTTGGCTTTCAATGCCCCAACATGCTCGCCTATGGTCTATTGGCCTAAATTGTAGCTCCCTCTCTCCATCTTGCAATTCTCGCCTGGCAATTTCCGCATTTCTACGCAAGAGATAGACTGCAACACATTGTCTTTGGCAGTAGGCCTGGCTGAAAACTGCGACGCTCAGAACCAGCGGCAGCTGGAATACCGATAGGGATAGGAGCTCTGACCGTTTCAGTTGGCCAGTTCCACCTCGGTCTTAGAATATCCCCATCACTCCACACCAACCCCCCCGAAGTCAATATTTCTCAACATCTTCAGCTGCTTGAGTGGGTTGACCATCATGTTCGCTACAAGCGTACCGCTTGCCGCCACCGCCGGGACCCCGATCCCCGGCCACACGGAATCCCCCGTGCACACCAACCCCGGTAGGGGGGTGTTCGGCCCTGCAAATTTGTCCCGCCCTGGAGGGGGTGCCGCGACCGAGAAGAAAAAAGTTCGACAGGCGAGTACAGCGTCGGCACATGCGGTGTGATGAATGAGGTAGGAGTGTTGCAAACATTTCGTGGCTGCAGCGTGAGGCCATAGGCCCCCACCGTGCAAAGCCGGCGCCGAGCAAGGCATGATTTCCGCCAGGCGTCGAGCACATTTCGTGGCTGCAGCGTGAGGCCACAGGCCCCCACCGTGCAAAGCCGGCACCGAGCAAGGCATGCTTTCTGCCAGGCGTTGCGCTTCGCGTGCCAACCATCAATAACGCTTGGGGCGAGATGAAGAGGTGATTCACTCGCATGCTCAAGTTTCGGTCCCCATGGTTATCTCTCGCCAATAAACGGTTCCAGCTTTCGGTGGACATGGTTGGAGCAGTGACCCACGTCCGCGTCGGGACTGCTGTCTGCGACCAAACGTAAGCTGTGCACAACAACAATTTTCGGCACCCATCCAGAGTTATCCTCTGCAAGGAACGAAAAGTGTAACGACTACATACAGCCCATCTCATCTCACCGGCTTTGATCTCCGGTCCGTAGGTTCCTCGGTCTCTTCGCAGGAAACGCTGGAGGGTACGAAGTACGGGACAGCGATCGAAAACAGCGAAGCAGCAAGCAGTCTGGGTCAGAGTGCGGTCACACAAACAGCTGATTGGGAGCCTTGCCTTTGAGTCTCCCCCTCTGGACAAAAGAAATACGGTAGGATATTCTCCAAAAGTTTTTGCCAACAGAAACGTGCCGGATGCTGACCACGGTCGATCGGCCACAAAGCTCTTCCGATCGAGTGTGATTGCAAGTAACATACCATGTCTGGGCACCTCGTGAGCCACAATGCGACACGTTTGATGGGAAAAGAATGTGCCGGGAACCCGTCCAACTCTCTAAACAGCCCTGTTCTGATCTCCTAAACCAGGAAGCGAAGGATAGTCGAAACCACGAACAAGCTCGCGGCAATCAACGAGCTACATAAAGTAGCTCGCGACAGGCCGTCGCGGGTTCGCACAAATTTCAGCTCGTGCAGGCCAGCACACACATGCCCAACAATGACTGTACCGATGTCGAGCAGCACCCACACGATGGCATTGACCATGTCTTCGCAATGACAAAAATACGCATGTTCCCTTCTTCATCTGTCCTTGCATGCCACCGATGAGCCGCGGCACAGAACCCAACAGCCAGACAGACACTTTGCTCGAGTTTCCGAGGCACCACCTACACACTTCCCCGTTCGTAGCCAAGCGAAACAACAGAGGGATGCACTACGGAAACACCAATCAGCATTCCCAGCCCGTTCGACAACCCAGAGGGTGTTTGGTTGATGAGAGACGAACGATCACTGGGGAGGGCGTTCAATGACGCCTACGGCATGCCCACACGTGACACCGGTCTAGGGAGAACCGGGGTCCGTCGGGAGGGCATTTGAACCGGTGGTGCGGAATCCCGGTTCTCGTCCCGCCCGATGACCTGGTAGCGGCGACATGGAAAGGTCTGCTGTGAGGTCCTACCTGAGCTGTGACCGGCGTTCCGATCATCCGGACATCCAGTCGAGATTCTAAGTCGGGGAAGACAGTCTGCGTAGAGGAGCCGTCCAAACATGTCAAGCATTGATGGGACGGGCAAGTGCGGGAATCCAGGAAGAGAGAGGTTGAAACGGAGCGGAATGGTCGAGGGCTTCATCTCTGAAAGGCAACAAGAACATTTTGCAAGCTTGTGTAGACTGGAATACACGCAACACGCTCACGCCGCGATGGTGGACGAGAACAGCCAACTTAAGATAAGGTTCACGGAAAAAAAAACAAAGAACAGACATGAAGGTCGTGCAGTCACGATGTTAAAGTGTCGGCAAAAGGAACGCCCTGAACAACACAAAGCCACTAACCACTCGATCAACGAGTCGCTTGCACCTTGGCGGTTCGTTGCTACAAAATCCGTCACAGAACCGAAAACACGTCTGCAACTACCAACCCCACGCCACACACCTCAACGGCGTCCATGAGGACCTGAGCTCGCTCCTCTTTAAGCTTGCGGTACTCTTCGCCCTTGGGATCGAGCCCTTCCCAGTTGGAGAACGGCTCACAACCGGCCCTAGGTGGTTTCAAGAATGCCATGACCGTGTTGGCAGCCAGAACAGCACACGTAGCATAGGCCCGGACAAGGGCCAAGATGACAAAACGTGAAAGTTAGTTTCATGCGAAGGAGGACGAATAACCCTAAGAAACGAAAAGGGCATTTGTAGGTACGGAATCCACCGAAAATCTACAGCACTTGGAACGATGCGTTGGCGACAGCGGTATCGTTGAGTCCGCTGTGCAAGCAGACCTGGAACATCAGCTTTCGTGGTCCTGGAGACACAGGAATCGATTCCGGGGTTTCGCTCGAGACTCTTGCTGTATCTGGCGAGCACGATGTAGTGCATCGTCTGGGGGCACTCACGTATAGGCGTGCACCGTATGGCAGCCCGGGGGCGCCAGGGATGGGTCCAAAACGGACGGGATGCTGACCACGATAACGTTGCCTGCGTCGTCAATGGGCTTATCCCAGTCCGCCACCACGGCGTAATGACAGCGGGGATCAAACGCATCGTCCCCCCCTTTCGCCGCCTTGTCGATCAGGTCTTGACAACGCACTCCCAAGTGCACCTGCGGGGGCATGAATTGAGGCAACCCGAACCTCGCCTTTCTTTACAGCTATACAATTTTCTTCGACTGTTCTACTGCGGAACGGAGGTCTAGCGTCGCCAGACCTGACACATAGATGCGGGCGACACTGCTTTTCGTGGCAATGATCCAGAAGGCTTTGGATTATCGCTTGGAGGACCTCAAGCCTGTGCGCAATGGGGGTAGACTAAGGATTCCCTCGCGCGAAAAGCATGGGGATTGTAGGCGAAGAACTCCGTCAACCATTGTCACGAAGCCCCACATTATGCGCCAGGAAAGCGAGCCTTAGCAGCAAGTGGAGCATGGTGTCAGGACGAGCAGTAGCTTCGTGCGCAAACGCACGTAAGTGCGACCTGGCTCAGACCAAAAAAAAAACACGTCTGAGCTTCTAGAACACCAGTAGAAAGCAAGAAGCGATCTCGTTGGCACAGCACTCACGTGCATGAAGCTCTTGCACTGCGGGGTGGCCTCTCTCTCCTTCACGAAATCTTCCGGCAGGGCACCCTTGGGCACAAGCCTCAGAGTGTCCCAGATGCTCGCGTTCGATACGACAGACCTGCTCCTCAGCACCGGTGGGGGGGGGGGGGGGGGGGGGGG